AGCCAGCATGCTGGCTAGGGAATTCTGGGAGTTGAAGTCCAACCATCTTAAAGATTTAGACGCTGCTGTAAGTTATGCAAAGCTAACAAGGCACACCCTTCTTCTCTGAAGAACTATCAATGTCTTGCCAGTGGCACAATTAAGAATGGATCACACAACACGAGGCTCACATCTTTTCCCCACCACGGGTATCTCCTGAACGGCATGACTGAGCCGTGGCGAAACATTACCAAGAAAATGCGCCCTTTTGGCTTGCACTATTTCTTTCAGACACTTCAAAAGATAATAAACTTTATTATTTTAAGCTGACTTTGAAATGGATACTAGCAATCCACTTGCACCGAGTGAAGATTCGGGCAACCCCAGGCAGCCAAGAGTTTCATTCAAGTCCTTCGATTTCTTTTTAATTTACAACAGCCTTTTCACTCAAACTGCTTCCAGTTAATAGCTCCAGGTTTTATCTGCTAAAATTCTCCGTGTTTTCAAAAGACCAAGAGTTTCAAAGGCTGTGGCTCACCTGGTACACGCACACCATACACGGTGCTCCTCTATTGCATGAGACAGGGCCACCTGCAACTCCCTTTGCACACTGGAGTCAAAGAATTTCAGTGGCACAAATGCCAAAGGTGATCAGTACTCAAGGGTTTCTCTTGGTGATCAAGTTTCATGTGCATTTAAGCAAACCCAACAGTTTGAGTTCTGAATGCGGGTTTTATCCGTTTTTGAATATTCAAAAACGGATAAAACCCACATTCAGAACTCAGAAACTGTTGGGTTCATAACATAACACTCAGCACGTAAGAGTGCAGGAAAATACAGTCTGCAGGATAAGATAAGCACCATACCCCCTGAGATTCACTTGGCCCCAAGCCTCTGGCATTTTGTAAGCCCCTGAAGACCTGGATGCTCCCTCAGGCATGAGGTCTGGGGGTTGGTTGAACCTGCTGTGATTTTCCTTCATCTGGTTTAAGTTTGCATGAATAGGATTAGATTGTCCTTGGGAGCCATTATGTCATTATTATGCTGCTGCTGCTGCTATTGTTGTTGCTGTTGTTACTGGTTCCTTTTTTGTTGCTTTTGCTGGTTTCATCAGCCAGAGTCACAATTGTGAGATGGGCAGCTACTGTATATAAACTGAGATACAAATGAACAAAGAAATGTGGAGTCCTTGGTGTTCTCTGAGCTTGGTTGTTTTCTTGTCGACATTTCATTACGTGACTAGGTAACATCTTCAGTTAATAAATAATTACATGTGTATTGTATTGTATTGTATTGTATTAGATATATAAATGCCACTGATCTGCCCCATAGAACTGTGGGGTGCAAGCACAGTCAAATATATGGATTCAACTGTCAGATTACTTGGAGATATCTATCTAGGCTTATCTCCTAACAGGATACCTAAATATAGCTATCCAGAAGTGTCAACAGATGCTCACAATTTCCATGCACCAAAAAATAATGACTATTATTAAAATAGCAGATGTTATTAAATATCTGAACAAGATATTTGGAAAGGAGAAAGCACACCTATGGAAACTAAGCAGAAAAAAGAAAGTCAGGCACCCCATAGTCAAAAATAAGAAGAGTAGCTAAAAAAAGAAAGTAATTCAATTCAGGAAGGAACGCCTCCTTCCCAGGCACAGGTTGCACAAATTTCACCATAACCGAAACCTCATTTTGACTACCCACTCCTGCCTCCATCGTTCCATTAGCGATACAACGCTGGGATCACATCACTTCTGATAAATACCCAGCGGTGGAGAAAACAGCTTCCCTGAGAAACATGGAGGGTCCTGAAGGCTCAAGTAGTACTCTCCTCCAAGAGCGAGGCAGAACAGCCGAGGGTGCTCCCTAAGCTACCGAAAAACAGGCCCAGGAAGCAGCTATCTTTTCTGTGGCACAGGAGTGGTAGTGGCCAAGCAAACGCCGGGTGGCTGCCGTCTGCCAATGCAGCAGGGCACCCCAGGGCACCAGGGAGAAGGAGATGGCTGAGACCTCATTTACGGAGCACCGGTTTTGCCGACAGGACGTGTCACTTGAACAAAGTTCAGTCCAGCCACGCTCACTTGCTGCTAGCACATTAGCAGGGGATTTTTTTTCAATGTTTATTTTAAAAGCCCGGTTGGCTCCCCAGCTGGAACTTTGCGACTCAGGAGTAGCTTATAATAGCCAAAGAGGACCAAACAAGAAAACATCTGAGATAAAAAGCAAAGAATCAGTGACCTGGTCCACATTCATACTCCACTCCTGATGGACTCTCTACTTATCCCACCCTAATGCCCAGGGGGATAGCCACGTTTTTAGAGCCTTTCTGAAGGCCAAGAAGGTTGGGGGCCAACCAAATAATCAGGATAGGGTTATATGCAAAGGTCCCTGCCATGACCTCAAAACCTGCCATTTACATCCACCCAAACGGTGATATTATCTCCTGCCCACCAGGAAGGAATTTTTTGCTCCCTACACACTGAAGAAGGAACTGGTTCTGTCCACTCCATCTTGGACGGGCCCTGCCACACATCCGGACCCTACACCCGATGACAAAACCACATCTGGAAGGCCTTGCAAAAAGCCTGCAGGATCAGGGTCAGTCTAATCTCTGGTGGAATGATCTTCCAAAGGGCAGGCGCCTCTTCCTGGCCCCGCCAGATGGCACTCCCTGACAGACGGGACCCGGAGCATGCCTCTCCTGCCAGACCTAATGGGATAGATAATGGGGGAGAGGTGGTCCCTCCAATATGCCACCCGCCTCCCAACAGCTCTGAGTGGTGAGCAGCACAAGCCCACCACACGTGCAAACGTGGCCTGCAGCACCCTCCTGCTGCCGCTGTGACAAGAAAAGCCACACTGACCTGCTGCCCAGGTTCTTCTCCAATGCTTTTCAAGACATCCATCGGGGCAGGAGTCGCAGCAACAGCTACTTTGGCCTTCGCTTCTGTTTTCTGCCCTCTCAGTAGATGCCTTGCTCTAAAATTCCTCTCGTCAGAGACTCCTGCAGATTGAACAAACGAGACCAGGAAATTCTCCAGTTGTTCTTACAAAGCATCTCTCCCAACTCTTCTAGTAAAAAGGAGAAACTACAGGAAGCATTAAAAGGAATCCTATCACACACACACACACAACATCACACGTTTTAGGCTTTTCAAGAAATTGCCTCTTGCTGCTCCTCCTATCAGAAGCAGGCCCGATATCTGTCTTCAAGATTCCCATAAAGGCAATGCCGTAAAATTCACTCATTGAATTTATTGGCTTTTGATTGTTATCGCACCTGGTGCTTTTCAACACACTTCTTCATAAGGATAAGTTCAATTAATTTATGGACCAAGCTCACACGTTTTTAATTACTCACTTTGGAGTTGTTTAATCAACTTTATAACATTATGTGCTAATGCTGGGCTTAGCTACTATCCTTCCTTCCTCCCATTTCTTTTAAAACAGGAAATCATCTACAATCTTTCCAAGCAAGCCACATACCAAGGAATGGAAT